ATCCGCTGGATTTAAAGGGGCCGTTCACCAGCTAGTCTCTGAGCGTCTGTGTTACACCTTTATTAACACTGTCACTTTAATTACGCTAGTTTGACCATTGAAGCTATAAAATAACGTTTATGTATTTCATATTTAAGCAATTCAGCGCTTTAAAAAAATATGAACACATTGAAATATACAAACATGTACTCACATAATGGTACAGAAAAATAAGAACATTAATTTAAATAACGTGAAATTATAATAATAATGACAATAATCATAACAATGAGTATATTAATAATTAGTATACAGGAATGTACTTTAATATTATATCATAATAATAATATAAAAACATACATTATATTAAGGAGTTGACTGCAGTTTTACAGTTTTATTATTATTATATCATAAATATCTAGTGAAATTGGTGGTTTACTTTTTATGTATATTTATCATTATCCGTGCCTTTTGAGAACCCTTTAAAAAAATAAATATGATTGTTATTATGTTTAAAATGTATATTTTTACACTCGATTTAGATGTTATTAGTTTAACACAGTATTTGATGTTTCATTGAAGTCCAACAAGTAGCTGAATGTATACAATAGTAGAATAAATGCAAGATTCTGGTTCATTATTGCAAAAAATACATTTGTTGTCAACATCTGAGAATTTAGAGAAATACATATTTGTTGGATATATATTTAGTAAAATATTAATGTAGACTTTATTCTTATTGGACCTTCAGTGCCGAGTCATTTACTGACGGGAAATGATGCAAGACTTCTGCCCAGTTGTCAAATCTGGTTTGTTTTTGTAAAATAACGCTGATGCTGCGTTTGTTTTTACAGCTGAACACACTTGAAACACCATGTTTTTTCTCATTTTATGGGAATTGTTTTTACAATAGATATAGTGTCCATATTTCATAATATTGTTATGTGTGTGTTGTGAATGTTTCTATTTGTTTCTTGACTTCATATTCTCATATTATGTACGGAGTGTTTCAGCCTCTTTTAGCTCCTTGTTTTGGTTTAACAGCCCAGGAATGAGGCTAAAAACGTGCAAATGATGCTAATGTTGCTCTTTGTCTGCTAAATGTGAATAAGCAACTGTTGGCTAACACTCATCAAAACCACGTTATACGGTGATAACATGCACAAATGTATTATGAGACAATGGGGCCCCCAGAGACACAGTTTTGGTCATTTTTAATCTCTTTTGGTCATGATTTTGCATCTCTTTGGTGTCATTTTCCATTTCTTTTCAGACATTTTGAGTCTCTTCATAGTTGTTTTGCACCTCTGTTGCTGTTTTATCTCTTTTTAGACATTTAGCATCAAGTTGTAGTGGGTTGTGTGTCTCTATGGTAGTTCTGCGTCTCTTTCCATCTCCTTGTAGTTGCTTTGCTTTTGGCATCTCGTTGTGACTTCCCAATAAGAAATATTAGCAGTAACTGTAAACAGAAGCTCAGGTCCAGGGGCCTCTAACCTGTAGCTGAGTTCTCCTGCTCAGAGTTGTGCCGCAACAACTACATGTACCAGAATGCATTGCGTGCATGCTTCTAACGCAGAAGATCCCCGACCATAATGCTCCACACACCTCTCTCCACTGAGCTTGATTTAAGTGTCAAACTAATAATATAAATATAAATATCAGCATAATGTAAATAAAGTACACGACAACACAAGAACATTTAGAGTTTTTTAATTTCTTAAAAATAACCATCAGAATCTTGACGCAGCAGAGAGAAGTGTTCGTATGTAAATACTGAACTTCAACATCTTTTGCCAACAAAACAATAAATAATCTCAAGTTTTCCTTTTTAAAGTAGAACTGAGAATCATCCTCTAACTTAAAGATGAGCTCTGGTTTCTCTCTCGTGTACACTGTGTACTTTACAGCCGTGTCTAGTTTTACGGTATTTTAACTAGTGTGTACTTCTCACTGTGTGCTAAAATACCTGTGAAATAAACACAGCGACATGAAGTACAGTTAGAGAGACGACGCCCAGCTGGAATGCTAAAACATGGAAAAAGAAATGTGCCTGTCGCCTGGTTCACACGTCTCCATTTAATTTCATCCACCAATCAGATCGTGTCGTTACTTCCTGGTACACAGCAGGAGCATAAGGAGCTTCTGGTAAACGGGTTCGTTTGACTTTAGAGAGACAGAGACGATGTTTTTAAATATGAAAGAGAGACAAAGAGAGTGATGAGTCGAGCTGAAGCTCCTCCTCCTTCAGTCCGATGGATTCTGAATGACGATCAAGAAATAGTCTTTATCTGAGAGGAAAAGAGGCAAAAATTAAATTCGATACACTCAAAGGTTTAATGGTCGCTGCTGCTTGTTGGGACAGAAAAGTTCAATATAACATTTGTTCATCCACATATTTGTCTTTCTGAGTAATGTGACGCCCGTATATGTTGCATTATATTTCAGATTTTTGCTCATTAACTGTAGAGGTGGTGATTTCGGTCCTCCTGTCCTCATGTTCAGGTGTTCTCACCTGGAGCGATCATGATCTCGTTCTTCTTGGAGCGGATGCGGAGGAAGGTGAGGTCGTTCTGGGGGTCGATGTCTCGTATGGTGCTCCTCGCCTTCATCACCAGCTGGTGGATCAGACCCGCGTACTGCACCGTGCTGGGGTTGTCCAGAGTCGTCTTCACGGGGATCCCTGAGAGGAACGAGGGTCATTTACATATTATTGTAAGATAACCGGATATTATAGACTTATTGATTTACAAAGAAGGTAAACAGCAGATCAATTAATCGTGATTATGATTAGGAAAGAGAAAAAGACAAAACGAGAGACGCACCAAGAAAAAGTGGTGAATGAACGGTTGAGATGAATCGTTCCTGATCGCTACAGTTATTAATGCTGGTTAACCGTCATTAATGGGTGGTGTCGTAGCTGGTTAACCATCATTAACGGGTGGTGTCGTAGCTGGTTAACCATCATTAACGGGTGGTGTCGTAGCTGGTTAACCATCATTAATGGCTGGTGTCGTAGCTGGTTAACCATCATTAACGGGTGGTGTCGAAGCTGGTTAACCGTCATTAACGGGTGGTGTCATAGCTGGTTAACCGT